AAATTTTCACCATTTGCACATTCAACGGTCTTCTGTTGATGATCAGAATTTGAAGATCCTGCCTCGTCCAGATTGAAAGTTGGAAATTTTTAAACGTGGGAGTCTAACTGAAGGAAAGTGTTCATTTTCAGGCCAACATAAATTCGACGGTGAAATATGAGGTTTTAGCTCGTTTAGATTGAAATTTTCACCACTTTCGCATTGAACTGTCTTCTGTTGATGGTCAGAATTTGAAGATGCTGCCTGGTCCAGATTGGAAGTTGCAAATTGCAACTCGCCTGTGAAAAATCAAGTTTCAGCTCGTTTAGATTGAAATTTTCAGAACTTTTAGGGTCAAATGTCTTCTGCTGGTGGTAACTATATCAACTGGCTACTAACTAGCTTGGAAGTAGTAATTTTTTACTTAGGTGGGCACATTCAGCTTTTTGAGCATGAAAAATCAATAATCAAACATCGAAGCAATTACAATTAAATCTAATAAATCCGCTAATTGATTGGCGCTCTCTAAAAGGTCAAATCTGAGTTGCTAATTGCAACGTCCGGATAATCCTTTTTATTCAGTTAAATATGCAGGACAGACACATTGAGCATAAGAAAAATGCATAATAACAGGTTCAATTACCCAGCCTTGGCACTGGGTAATTAAGCGTCACTGTTGCAGTCAAAATAAAAGAAAACATCTTTTAATTTGCCCAACTACACAAAGAAAACCTCAGTTCCAGCTAATAAATGTTAATGTCTTTGGAGCTTCATTTAGCTCTTCGCTCAGACAAGGCGAGCCATTCTGGAACGCTAAATTGCCTCACTGTCCTGACTATTTATCGTGCACCAGTGTCCAAGAGGCTTTCTTCAGTTTGTGTGAATGTTGACTTTGAAGAGCGCAAAATGGCCCAGGAAAATTCAGCAAAAAAAAACCGAAACCGCATAAGCGCAAATAAAGTTGATAAACAGAACCGATTATCGATATTATGGGTTGCGTTACTAAACCAGTTAAGATCAGTTCGATAATTGAACACGATATTGCACAGGACTTTGTCTATGAAATGTGAAAGGTTGCAGACAGATAATAACAATCGGTCTAGCAACAACCATGTGGTCTGCAAGGACGTTGTTCTATATAAATAACGTAAGCACTATTTAAAATTGATAGTGGAACAAAAGTGGAAAAGATCAAACCAGGACAAGTGGAAAAGTTTTGAAGCAGAGAAGGACCAGAACAGTGTTTTTTATTCATGTGTWCTGTCCTAGCATCAACATCTTTCTCTTATTTCTTMTGCTCAATGTTTCCATAAGTGTGAAGTTCCAARAASTAAAKATTMTTAYTATCGRTTATTTCATTACGTTTCGGCGAGACAACAGCGCCATCATCAGATTTAAAATTTACACAAACTCATAATTGGTAAACATTACGTTCGTTTAGGTCTTTGCAGAAAAGACCTAAAGAACCTGTGTAAATTTTAAATCTGATGATGGCGCTGTTGTCTCGCCGAAACGTAATGAAATAAACGATATTAAAAATGTTTACTTCACACTTTGAGTGAGACCCAGGAGGGATAAGAATTCTTATAAGATCAATTGCAGGCAGCAGAAGAATAAATCAAAACATATGTTTTCCACCAGCAATCTTCAACTTCATAAGAGTTCCTGTTCGTATGAAAGGAGATACATCAAAACTGAGCAAACCGGACGGTTTTTTTGGCATTTCCGATACCTGATCATGTAAAATTGCACAATTCTTCATTTTATGTGCAATGCCAGTGATTTATTTTCGTAGAACAAGGTGAAGTGGTAGCAATCAGTTACGCATCTCGCTTGCGTTAAGCACTGACTACTCGCGGTGCTCTCTACCACTTTCGT